CACTCCTGACTGTCTCCGTATCTTAGTCAGTGTAACACTTCCCATTTCGGGGGTGCACCACCGATTATATGCTTACGCCCGCAGGAAGGGCTGGGATGACTATCTGCCAGAGGAATAATTCATCTATCAGCAGATGATTGGAGCGCTACCCAAACTGCCAAGCCCCACAAGTGAACCAAGGATTTAAGAATGCAGCTTGGCGCATGACAAATCATTGCTGCAAACCAGGTTAAGGTCATTACTACAGGTACGGAAAATGTTAATAGCCATCAGGTGAGATGCAGCCTGCGCACAATTTTTTTCAGTTGGAATTCACTGCTTCTCCCTTAATTCCCTCACTGTGCTGCTTTAGAGAGAGGCGCTTTGAGTTGCTTGCCACCGCACTGTGTTTCTCACAGCAGGGGCACAAGGTATGTATTTCAAATGGTAAATGCTACGTTTTGGGTTCAGTTGCTGCGTGCAGATGGGCATATGGAAGGTCTAGCACATGTTATGCTTTTAGCAGCCTGCAAAACCTTGTAGCTGGAAAAGAATGCCTTCCAGCATTACTACCTGGAAGAGCTACAGGTATTAAACGGGAATTGGTAGCTTTTGCCTGGGCATTTTTCACATTGTATTATACCCATTTTTAAATATTGCAAAGTAGGTGAGATCAATACAGAGGTATTTGGAATCTCATGGAAATTAGAGCAGAATTTGAGTGATGCCCTGTGAGATACAAGGGGAGGGGATAAGAACCGGAACTAGAGTTCAACCTACTTGCATGTTGTTTGAAGCCAGCTCCATACCAGCACCCCATCCAGCTTCCTCACTCCACAGAAAGCCTAGACCCTGCCTTATGTATTCAAATGCTTTGGTTATACAGCTCTATCAGGCAGTTCTGCTTCTCCCATGGCAGCGGTGCCATTAACAGACACACTGTGCCAAGTAGGTTTTTACAACTAAGAAGAACTAAAAATAAAACTTTACAGGAATTTCAACCGTCCACAGCAGCAGCACTGTGGTATTGCTAACAGGGACCCCCTGCTGTTCCTGGGCAAGAGTCGAGAACAGATATCTATATTTATATATATATCTAAGTCACTGCTTTACCTGTGGGTATTAAGGGAATTCAGAAGGGAAGAGTTGTCCCTACACAAGGCAAACAATTCTTGTGACACAGCAGCATTTGGGAGGATGCTGACTCGTATTAGAATAGCAATTAATCCATGTTTCTATGTAAGAAGCCTCAGTAAGATGGAACTAAGACTAAGCTGGTGCCAAGAAACTGTAAAAACACAGAGATGCCTATCAAGGTGTTTTTGTAAGCTATCCTTACTCCCTGCCCTCAAACCCCCAGCCAGACCTTGACCTGACACAGCACACAGCTCTCAGCACTCCCAGCTGGTTTTATTTCTGAACGCAGCTGGTTACGAGACTCTCAGACGGCACCCGCTCTGTTTATTGAGGTGGAAATGACACTTTGGGTCTAGTTTTTAGCAGTTCTCTTTGAAGTGCACACAGCTTTATAGATATTGCTAAAAGATTTTGTTTCCACTGAGGGCAGCTGACAAATTCAGGTACCGCGGGAGCTGCTGGGCTCCAGCACACCAAACAGAGCACCGTGAAATCACTCAGCCTCCCTTCTAATCCAAACCAAGCTTTTAAGTGATACTATTTGGCTCTCATTGCAACTGATACTCAGTGCTGGACCACCATGCTGAAAGAGATGAAATGAAGCTTTAAAAGGAAGGACAAAGTGAGAGCTGCCTAGGCAGGACTAGCTCACATGGAAGCGGCTTTCCAGAACACAGGAACACAATAGGTCTCCTTCACACAATGAAAATTAACAGCTAAACGTTAACGTAAGCCTGACCCTCTTACCTGTCCTTCCAGAGAGATAGTTTTCAGCAAGTTAGGCACAGGGATTCCTGAAAGTACAGAATTACGAAGTCAAGGGAAGGAAGGGAAGGGAATCGCACAAACACAGGAACTGGTCTATGTGGGCAAGTTGGAAAGGGGAGTGAACAGGCATAAAGACTGAGAAATACGCCCCAAGGTTTTTGGTCAGAACACTTGATCTGCACTACTTGTTCAGACTAACGCACACCATACCTCTCATCCAGTTTACTGTGGGTTATGAAGAAATTGGCAGGAACATCCTAAAGAGCGTATTTTTTGTGACCTACTTTGGCTTTGAAGCATCTATCGTTCTTTCACATAGATAAGCTAATCATTGTTGCTTTTTCCCTTTGACGCAGGCTTTAGAATATAAATGTCCCATCGAAACAAGTGAGAAATCTTTGCCTTCCAAAACATCCTGAACCCATCCTTAGCACAAGCTTTCCGATGGCACAACCGCTCGTAACAGACATTTGCCAAACCGATGTACACCCATTCTGACACCTGCACGTTATGGTGCGATTTATGAGCCCAGGACTGTACTTGTCACCTAAGTACCTCAGCATCATCCAGCAGCACAAAACCACTGTGACCAGCATCTGTTGTACAGTTTTTTTTCCTTCTCCCATCTCCACCCAGGGGAAAAGCCCAGTTAAAAAAGCTTCCTGTGAAAAGCATTTAATCATACATTAATACATACTGTAGAAAGAAAAAGCAGTGTGAAAGATGGGTACTGCCTTGACTGAGGTTTGATTTCAGAAAAATAAGAGAAGCTACATATAGCAAAGTTCTAGTGCAAATCACTGCAGTTTCATTCATTTCACTTCTGATGTTATCAAAGGTCACAGAGAAAGCCTTAGGGGAGCTGCACTCATCCATCTGACAAAGCACAGCCTGTATAAACAGAGCAGCAGAGAGCATTTTCTTTCCGGACCAGCTTCATGCAGACCTGAATCCACTCGCTTGTTTCAAACCAGCTTTTGCTACCGTTTTCAAAGGGGCTCCAGAGTTTATAGGACTTCTTTCCTGAACACACATCTCACTAAAACCTGATCTTGCAATAGTGCTGCTTGTTACGGTGATGCACAAGTATGAGGACAGGCAGCCAGTGACCCAACAACAGACAGCTGCCAGAAATAATCTTTCCCTGCTGTTCCCCTCCACAACATAAAACCCTACAATTTTTAAAATTAGCATACAAGTACAAATATAACGGAAAGTATTGTGACAGAGGTTAATGGCTCATTAACTAGTCTGGTAGTTAAAGCAGCAATTAATGGATTATTTCCACAACATCAGTTATTGCAATAACTCAGTATTCAGAATGAATAATTTTACAGTAATTCCCCTCCCAAATCCAGGCAAGACTCTTTCAAACGTTGGAGGAACACCGTCAAGCACCTGTAAACCTTTAGAGCAACCGGTTAGGCCTAAGAGGCATCACTAACATTTTCCTACACGCATGCTACATCAACCGCTTGGATATGCACTCACATTTATGCTGGAATGAGCATCGTCTGTCTTTTGAAGATAATGCAAATAAACCAATAGAGAGTTTCATATTATATCTTATTTGGTCAAAAACTCAATTAATTAAGGGTAAGGCATTAAGGGACAGACCTAGATAACCAAGCCACGGCAAACATTTCTTCTGCACTTGAGGACGAGTTATACATTATTAGGGCCAACTTGATGTGTTCTCATGCTTCCAAACCCATTTGTGCCTTAGGCACTTAAGCATCCATAACGTGATTCCCTTGTGGACACTGAACTTAGCAGTGGAAGTGAATCATGCTGCCTCTGAGAAGTGCTGGTTTTGAATTCTTGACCTGGTTTAACACTGGATGCGCTTAAATATTTCGCTTATCTGAACTTTGTAAGCCGCTATGACATATCAAAATTATGGTCTTTCTTTGAGGCAGGTTTCTGCTAAATGAAGGCTTATAAGGAATTTATTCAATTGCTACCTATGATTTCTCTAATGCAACAACAGAATGAGCAGTAAAATACTAGCCTTTTCATCATTTTTTCACCATAACCCCTTTCAGTCAGGTGTTCAACTTCTAACGACACCACTGGATTTAAAAAAATTCCTGTTCACCTCTAGAATCAAAACCCAACTAACCTAAGTTGAATAAAACAGACAGCTGAATTAAGGTTTAATCTTACTTTTCCTTTACTGAGAAGGGACACTTGATTATACACAGAAATGCCATATTTAAGTATGTCAGTATACTGGCTGCCATGAGTTAACCCAGCAGTCTGTCACAGCTTTCAAGTCCTTCTTAATGTGCAGTGCTCTAACATTGTCACGTACTACACACCAGCTTTGAAAAGGAGTTTGCTGTATCACAACTGAAGAAGTTTCAGGCATCTTCAAAATGACTTTCGTGAAGTCTAACTTTTTGCCAGTGTGACTAGTGACTGACACATGCCCATGGAGTCTCAGAACTTGATATGGCTTCTCAAAACACCAGTTCTTCAAGCCTTCATCTTTATTAGTCTTCACATTTAAGCAAAAAATTTAAAAACATTAAAGAAACCACAAACTTTCTGTTTGGAAGACTGCTACAGAAACATCCTGAAAGAATGCTCTCTCGGGGAATTGATGGAGACTGACTAAAAATTTGATATTCGTATCTTATAGAAAGGCTTAAACTAGGCATCATTTCTAATTTCTTACACAACTCTGGGACAACTTCTTTGTTATGAATTGCTACTCTGTTTCTCTCCTTCCATTAGCTACACCTAGAGTACAGAGATTCCTGCAAGCAGGAGTTTTGGAGTAGCTCACTCAAGCACACGTGGCCTGAAGGGAAGATCCAATGTAAAGGCATCATTTAAGTCAGCTATAAACCTAAGCTCTAGGCAGAAGTACACACCAGGCAGTTAGTCCAGTCCCCAAAGCACTCCCAGGGGTATATCTAAAAACAGGAACGAATTAAGATTTTATTTAATTATTTTTTTTAAGAATTAAGAATTATTTTGATTCTAGCCTAATGCTCAAGAGGTTCATAATGAAAACCTTCAAATGAAGTTAACTTTCCAAGAAACACTCTGAACTCAGAACTCACACAAAATTCAGGTATACAAAAGACATTAAATATTTATTATAATTACAGCAGCTTTACACCAGAAATTTAAAAATTTTAAAATATCCCAATTTTTTGATTCATGATTTTTCTTCATGACAGTTGGTCAGTAGGTCCCTGGGATATCTGTAGGCACCTTTAAGAGTACCTCAACTTCTTCTTGTAAAGCCTCAGCTTTTTCACTCAGCAGCATCTATAGTGGAAAAAACACCAAACCATTAGAAAAATTAATACAAGCATTAGCTGTAACTGTTAGACAGGTTAAACCACCAATGTTTCTTTCTAAACTTGCACCTGGTCTGTAAGAAAACCTCTGCTGCTGACCACAGGACCGCAGTACTTTTGCCACAAAGGACTAACATTTTCACAAGTACTACCACCAATATTTTTTACTGTTTAGTGTATTCCCATATGAAAAACACTAACACAAAAATTCATACAGTGCACAGCTGGTTTTCTCAGTTCTGCCATCACACAATACACAAAATTTAACAGAACATAAACAGTTTTGTCTAGAACTGTTAACAAGAGCATTTTTAAACGTAAACATTTATTTTCCACGTTGGAATAAACATTCGTAAGTTGTCCCTGCCAAGTTGCCAATTTCCTGCTTAATGAGAAATTTCTTACTACAGCATTTTACAACAGACATACAGGACGCCGATATTAGCAACTGTCTAACCCACTGCCCTGAACTGTTCGTTGCTGGCAGTGGCAGAGTAACAGTCCGCCAGCAGCACGTGTAGCATAACACATGCAAGCACTCTTGTAACTTCCCAGTTAGAGAAAACCCCACCAGTTTAACGTCTGAGCATGAGGGTAAACTAGCTTGCTGGATTTGGCGCTGACGCAGATGAGGAATCTGCATACATCCCTTTCTCTTGGCTCACACAGCAGCAAAAAAAGCAGTAAGGAGCCTACACCATTAAATGGCCGTGACCTCTTTTTAAGCACATAAACCCCAAAGTGCGAGCTACCCTGTGAGAACATACAAATCAAGACTCTGTTATTGACTGCGTCATTTTTCACACCAATCATGCATTTATTTATTCTAGGCACTCCCTTTACCAAAAGCTTGCTGTTTCAGCAGAATCCAACATGAAACTGATGCCATTCCAACAGCAGATGACTAATAGAGACTGAAGAGAGAAAATACTACCACTTGATAAATAAAATACTTCCTGTATGTTTTTGTTTAGGCACAAATCAATGTTTGCTACAGATCCTTTCCCTTGGACTACTTATGTGTGCTAAGGCATTAAGTGTGCCCCGGAGGCAGATATTAGATGGAGGCCCTTCTAATGATGCATATTCAAAATGGAAAACAATTAGAAAGAAAAGAATAACAGGGTACGACAAAGCAACCTAAATAGGTGAGGTTACCCCTATACCTTGTTGGCTTCCATTTCTGCAATCCTGAAAATCCTGTTCTTTTATCACAACTACCACTAGAATTTCTGTACAGTAAGTCCAGAGGTATTGGCAGAATTGAGCCTTTTCAGTTATGACGACTCAGCACAGAGATCATGTAGTCATTTAACTGCCGCATTTCATCAGACAAGCTGTCAAACTTTTTCGCCCTTTGCTTCCCCTCTGAAAAAGACCACAACTTTCCACTATCCTGTACATAACAAATTGTTTTAAGAAAAAATTAAGTTTGCCTATCGTTCAGGAGCATCAAGGTCAGCAACTGCTCAATTCATTTTAACCATCTCAGAGAAATGATACCATCGAGAAAATATTTCAATATATTCTTAATAGAGATCAATATCTGAATCACAAATATCCACTAATGCCTTTACTAGTAAACTGAATCCTTCACTTTTAATGTCATTCAAACATCCACTTTTGACATATTGAAGTTCTGAAGCAGGTTTTTTTAACTTTGTTTTTAACTTACCTTTGCAGATGAAACAATTTGTTTGGCTTGACGTCGTGACAAGTGTTCAATCATCCTGACCAGAGTTTCTGGATTTGCATTAGCCAAATGTGCTAAAGTTTTGTAGCCTGCATTATAAAGCTGTTTTGCTCGTGCCTGCAAGTCCAAAAATCATGTTAGGTTTTTAGAACAGGCAATAAGAATTACCATTAAGTGCCAGCAACCTCAAACATTTCATCTTTGCATATCAATCCAAGTCTCTTCATCTTTCTAAGAACATGAATATTCACCAAGAATCTTTACTTCCCTAAAAATACAGCTACAAGATTTACTTCCCAGCTCTTACCCAGCTCTTAGGAACCCATTTGTCACTATTTTCTCTGAGCCTACCCGACACAGACTCTGTCATCCTCTTTTGTCATTATGTTTTCTCCATTCGCTGTCAGTGACAGGAATCGCTGTCACATTCTTTGGAGGTGTCTAAGTGAAAGGGTGGCCAGTTTTATAACAGCTTTTTTTTTTTCACAGAACTTTCACAGAACAGAGCTTTCACAAAATTCCAGAAAACACTACACTGTCCTGTTCCAAGCTTATAAATAATTTTTCCTTTAGTATCACAGTATCCTTTTTATTTTTCTAGTTTTGTGTGAAGTCATGGCTGTGAGCTCACGTCTACAGCAGAGATACACATCACAGGAGAGGTTCTCTGGAATTTGATTATCACCAGTGTATGTAAGGGGGTATGCATTATCTGCTTCTCTTAACTTGGTTTGAGCCTGTTCCTATGTAAGGTAGCCAAGCAGTACCTGCCTAACAGAGGGTCTCCAGGCAAACATTTCTTTTGCAAAACAAATGCTGCTAGAACTTTACAAAGTTTAAGTTAAAATGCATTTCTACACTGTAGTGGAGTAATTTAGTATACTCAAGGCTTTAGTATCCTCAGTTATGAAATAATACCCATTCGATGAACAAGTGTTACACCTCCAAACATTTGGTCAATTACCTTTTGTTCCCCTCCCCCTCCTCTTTTAAAGACAACAAGGAATAGAAAGGCATTTATTTGACGGCATATACGGGGTTTTTTAGCACCCAACAGCTAACAGCCTACAATATATTATCTTCCTCCATGGTAACAGAACTACGCATGTTCATTGATGTGAAGTAGGTGTCATTAGTTTCACCAAATATAATAACTGATTGCCAGCAAATATTTTCTGTGCTCAATCTGGCTGTTATATGCACAGTATGACTGATGATGCAGAATGTTTCCCCACTAATGACTTAAATCTCACAAAAAAGTTTTAGATTGCTCTTTGAAAACTGTGCAAGTAAATGCGCAAAAAGTAATTTTCTCTTTCACTACAGTAACCTTAAGATTGATTCTTAAGAAATCTAAGCACATCACATCTGTTCAGGAAGACAGTCTACCTGCTACAAATATCAGCTGTCGGTATAGTTTTAACTCCAGTGCAGAAGTACCTTGGTTATAGAAGTAATTTTGAAGAGTCATCTTTAAAACACGACTTTAGCAGAATCATGCTGTCCAGGCTGGTTTTGCCCTTACACAGAAATGCTCCCACATTGAGTGACCTATCTTTTGCATCCAATTCAGAAAATTTGACATACAAAAAAACCCACATTAGGCTCTTAAGTCTTCATAATTGTTTAGCTTCTCAGAATAAAACCTTAGCGCCACTAAATTAAATGGTTTGCCAACAAACTGATTCTACAATAGGCTGGACGGGCAAGTTTGATCATTTTGCAGAGAGGTCCAGCGATTACTTATAACCTTGCACTGAAATCCAAAAAGATTTCCTACTTTAATAGGAGTCTTTGATTCAGAGACCAGTTAACGTTTATTATTTAGAATACGTGCAGCACTGCAAGTGATTGTAAAAGCCTAAGTTCCCAATAGGACTTCACATATTTTCGTGAGAATCTTCTAACTTAAACATGTAAATTTTTATTGCTCTTTACTCCCATGAACTGAAGAATCCTTATCGCAAAAGAAACCTGGATTCTCTTTTCCAGCTGAGGATACAGCAAAATTATTGTTCAAATACAGCATTTTCAGTGTTGCTGTGGCAGCAGCTGGAAGAAAATCGTTATCGGCTCCAGCTCACATTTCATCAACAGACCACTTTTTCCCCAGTCTCCAGGACTGTTGTGGGATACCTGCTCTATGCCAAATTCTCAATAAAAAACTAGCTTGGTGTTCTCGGTATACTGGAAAGGCACACTAACATTTAGCATACAAGTTTACATTGAAAAATCTCAGAAAGCCAGGTTTACTAACCTCCAGAACCCCTGCTACCTCCATTAGAGGGATGAGTTCTGTCTTAACACAGTATGTCAACCGCTTTGTAAGTTCTGTCAGCAAGGCTTTATAAACCCAGAATTCTTCCAATTCCTGCAGAGACAAAGATCATTAAAAAACAGATCCTAAGTTCTGTATTTGGGGGGTACGACTGATAAGAGCTCTGCTGAGCAACGAGAGTCTATTTGGCTTTTAGACAGAGGAAGTACTATTATTTCTAGTTATCCTTTCAGCTAGTTGCAGAGTTGTATTCAGCACTCTTCAGCTGAACATCCCAAAGTTAGGGAAGTTCTGAAGGCAATGCATTATTTCAATAGAGGAAAAAACGGAGAGAACAAGTCAGCTGTTTTCCCAAGATGACATTCCACAACCAGATGGCCTTATTTCCAAGAGAAAGGTAAAACTGTCAATTATTTCCCCAACAGCACTGACACTGATCAATACCCTGTACAATTTGTATATTTTCACATTCTCAGTGCATAAAGCTTACTTTTAATACAAGAAATACCACCATACAAGCATGCTTTTCTAACCAGGAAAAATAATTTTGAACAGGAAAGGTGAAAAAATAGTTTTGCACAGGGAAGGTGAAATATAACACCTGTGTTTGGTTCAAATGTAAAAAACCAAAACTCCAGATTTTGCAAAACCAATCCCAAAGAATTTATTGGAATTCACTTAACACACTACCTCACAGAAACGTAGAACACAGGAGGCGAATGAGGCAGCAGAATTAAGGAGATTTTGCACATATCCTCGGGACATATTAAATTTCTCTGAAATGCTCCATATATTGGTCTCTTTCAGCAGGGTATAAAGGACAAATGTCAGGTACAGCCTGTTTACCACAGCACTGTCCACATTCTAGGAATAAAGCAAGTTAGAATTCAGAGCCAATAACACATTCAAGATAGTGCTACAAGGAAATTCTTTTCAACTCTACTCCTTCACATCTCTAAAACATATCTATATTGTACCCAAAGGCATTAAACAACATTAAGAAAATGAACCAATGAGGTTAAAAGAACCTTAATAAGTAGAACATTTATAATAACAATATATAAAAATAAATAGATATTTATTTATATATATTATAATAGATATAAAGATAACATAAATATTTGTTTATTTATTTATAAATATACACACACACGTATTTATTTATGTATTTATAAATATAGAAATAAAGAACACTAGCAGAAAAACAATCTAGAATTTGTAAATGATTAAATGAAGTTACTAAATTGTCATCTTAGGTATGAGAAACCTCCAGCCTACCTTTCTGATGGCTTGACCAGAAGCCTTTTTTGTAATAAAGCTTTCAGGTACTCCCACAATATCCACTACTTTTTGCTCTGCTGCACTTAGCTGGTTGAACTAAAGTAAGATTTTATAAAGAATTTTCAGATATTTCGTTCTCTTAATATTATAGAAAACACAAGTCTATTATTCAAAGTGAAACGTTTTTCAATATCTCTACATAGTACTTAGTCACCAGACCAGTACTATCATCACTAGACAGTCAGATCTGCAGCTTCTTTGCCTACTTTGAATTACCTGTAGCTGTCCATCTCTGAATGCCACATTTCATCAAAATAGATTTTAGTGCTGCCTCTAGTATACACCCCTTTACAGATAAGGGAGTAGTTGAATTATGGGTGGATTTTACAGAGTGTCTAAGACTAGGATAAGGGCTGTGCTGCTAAGGCTGACATAAGCATAGCAGTCTGTAGGAAGGTATTGATCACAGGTATAGCTGCAGTCATGGCTGGAGTTACACAGTAGACTCAGATATCAAACAAAGATTAAATGAACAAGCATCACAGAAGGTAAATATGGCTCTTGATTAATTTCATAGTGGTTTTCTTGCAAGACTACAATGATGCGGTTACATATAACTAGTTTATAGGAAAGTCTTGTGCAAGATTAACCAGGCTCTGGCGACGGCAAGGCTAGCACCAAGGTTAGAGTCAGGATTTGGAGTACTCGCAAATCAAATGTGTTTCATGCCACTGTTTCCCCAAACAGGGTCAAATATTATAGGTGCAAATGAGAACTTAGGTTTTTATGCAACACAGGAAAGCATTTCTGCCCTGTGACTGAAAATAAGACAGCATATCTTAACTTTTCATCAAATCATTACCCCACTATCTACATTTCCTGTGCGTATGAACTTACTTAAAATGTAACAAGCAGGATTATTATATGCCCCAACGCATGTTTGCTAGTAAATTCTCACCTGTCTCAAGTATATCATCCAATCCGGGCTACAGTTAGAAGTCATATCATACGGAGTTGCCAGATACAGAAGATGAAGGTTGCTCTCAAGCACCAGCCCTTCCAAACCTTTCTTCAATTCTCTGTAAAGAAGATTGCAGTATGCCAAGTCTATAGACCCTATAATAAGCACACAATGTATTGCAATTTTAAACAGGTAGAGTTAAGTGAAATAGATTTTAACATAAAGTCAGCATTTCCTTTATCTTCCCCAAAACCTTGTTATGCCGTCTGAAGTGAAGAGAAATAACTGTAACCCAAATAAGTGCTCTAACCTAACACAAGCAGTGAAATGGAACAGAAGAAAGGCAGTCACCTATTTCCATGTATGTCTGCTCTCTGTGTGGTTTTGGAGTGTCTGTGAATTGCCTTGGCTTTAATGAAATCATGAAACAGTCTTGTAAGTTGAAGGAATCTTTCAGAGATTCATCCTATTCCAATTGTGTTCCATACTCTCTATCTTTATGCTATGAAAGGAAAACAGAACTTCCTGATATACTCTTTTCTTTATTATAACTGGTCTACATGTCATACGCTTCCTTTCCCTCTTAAGCTTCCCTCTAGGTCAAGAAATACCCCTGTTCACAATACCTGTGCATAAAAATGAATTATAAAACAAGATCATGAGCCATTTTGATTACAATTACTGAATCAAATCTTTAAATCATTTTTTTGGGGTGTAGAGTTCTGGTTTTATTCCCGTTGGGACCAATGTTACTACACTTCATTCCCACCTTGTTCAGTCATGCACTACTTTGTTCATTCACATTTTCAATCCAGCACATCATGTAGTAATCAAAACTGATTTCTACAACTCGTTTTTCATTGCAGTTTCAGACTGAAGATGGGAAAACATATCAAGCTGAGATAAGGCTGAGATGAAAGGGCTTGTTGAAATGAAGATTATAACAAGAATACAAAAGTCTTACCTTTGTATGTAGCTTTACCCAACGGTGTGATTGCTAGTGTACATTTGGAATTGTGGTCCTTCTCTGATATTCTTCGTTTTAGGAGTCCTTTTTCTATTAGATTTTCTAGCCCATCTTTAATGATCTTTGACAGGCTCTTCTCTTTAGACAGCAGCTGCTGCTGAACACCCAGCAATGTACTGCACATAAAATTGGTGACTTCTTCACGGGTAACTGCTATCTGCATCAGTTTTGCAAGTGATTAGCATGTTTAAAGGTGTCATTTCACATAACACATTTCATAAGCTATATGAAAAAATTTACTGACTAGAGAAGCAGTTTGATAGCCTGGTAATGTGTTTCTATATAAATAGATGACAACAAATAGAATGATAGACAGTCTACAACAAATCTGATGGGATCGCTATCCATCTGTTCTATTTTTCTAGCTACTGCATCACGCTAATTTGTTTCTACTGTTTCTATTTGTATTTTAAATCAAGTATCAGAAATCGTTATTAACACTGTAATGTATCGTAAGGTAGATAAAATTTTGACTTTCACACATTAGGAAATTGTCACGTTATGTGATTACTTGACAACTGAGTTAAAAAAAAGACCTCTCAAATCTTTGTCTGTCTTATCTGATTAGGAGCTATTCTGAACTTGTGAGCCAACCTGTTTGAAAAGTTTGGTTTTTTCTATAGGATCAACAGATAAAGTTTTCTTTGCATTCCCAAGCACTTAAGTTACTTGCAGAGAAGAGTTAACTGATACCTGCAGTCCGACCAAAGATAACAACAAGCTCTGCATTCCCTTGGTCAACTCCAGCAGAAGATTGCTGTAACAGTTCTCCAAAGGACTGTTAACTAAATCCTGAACCTAAAAAGAGCAAGAAATATACTAGTTTAGGGAAAATATTTATGCACTAGTTTTACACTTTTACAAATACTGTTCCACACGATTCAGCTTACAATGGAAATAAGCGTAGATAGATGTATAAAGTTTACAGTTCACATCTGCAAACAATCTACATAAAGGTGGTTTATAGGTATTAGTATATAATACCTACAAAGTAAAGTCAAACAAGTGCAATGTTAAGTGAACAAAAATTAAGCTAGGCAGCTCAGCTCCTCCTGCTTATCCCACCAGCTCAATCTAACAATTTAAATTATCAACAGCTTTGTAAACATTACCAAGTGTTTGTCTCTTTCTTGCACTATGAGAATACTTTCTCCAGCACTGTCAATACCAGCTCGACCAGCTCTGCCAATCATTTGTTTATACTGGTTCTTCTTCAAGAAGTCATTAGCAACATAAGGAGCTCTGAGAATAACCCTGTAAAGAAGTCTTTAGTTATGCTTTAATATTAAAATTACTAAAGCAGCAATAAAATTTTACAAATGCATTATTTATATATGTCCCTTGCTTAGTAACTAATAAAACTAAATGCACCAGTTTGAACAGATGTGTAAATCAACCAGGAAAACATTTAACAGTTTAAGGTTTATTGAATGATAAGCCAAGTTCATTATGTTTTGTGAAACCTTTGGAACTAGTCTTTACATCTGCTCAAAGGCCTGCGTTTAAAAGTGAAAATCACTGCGATATAAAGTAGACCCTACTAAAAAACCATAAGCTACACTGACCATACATCAGTTATGCTAGAAAAACAACACCTGTCTGTATGAAATTTTTTTCTTCCCTCAGATGCATTATTCCAACATACATGCACACAAACTGAATTCTTAGCAGACAGTCTTTGGTCATACAGAGCACGGCAGTCATATCATCAGTGTCTTACTTGTGTAAGAAAAGATAACACATTTTTGTGTTAAAACATATTCAAACTATACCTCCTCAGAAAAGATTTATTTTACAATTTAAACACTGTTTTTCAGACAATATCTAAAGAAACCACCAAGAATTCCTTATTCTTCTGTATAACATCACTAAAATACTGAAGCACTTCCTGAATTTATTAAAATTTCCTTAATCCATTTGGATAAGTGCTCTTCAGCTATGCATTCTGAGGGACTTGCTACTGATTTGCATTTCCCAAGTAAAAAACTTTGCAGTCTTGTGTCCTGAGTTGAACACAAATGCCCTTATGCTTTCAATTTGCTAGCAAAAGCAGAAACATACTTTAAATAGCACCAATATTTCCAGTTTATTAAAGCTATATTTTACAAAGCAAAAAACCAACGCAGCAATGAAATATGTTTCAGTTACTAACCTTCTAGCTGGCAGGTTGACTCCAGCAGCTAAAGTAGCTGTGCAAGCAAGTAAACACAGGACACCTGTAGAATATGCTTCCTCTATACTTTTTCTTTCATCATTGGTAAGGCCACTATGGTGATAGGCAATACCAAAAGGGATTGTTTGCTTCAGAACAGGACAGACACTTCCATTTCCAATATTCTTTAGGTTCTTGATGAGATCTTGTTTCTCTTTCTCCCTGTGAGCTCTAAATTCTCTTAGAGGAGGAAAAGCATTTCTTTAGATGTTGATCAACCATTGACTACATAAAAAAA